CACGATGCCTAATGAACACATGATGAACTATTGACCCAAGCTTGGTGTCGATCGGACATACCAATGTGGAGAAATGGTCCACTTCCTTTTTTGACGAAAAAAATTTACAGGAAGTGCTAATTTATAACGTGCTTATTTTTTTAAATATCAAAATTCTTTAAATTACTTTTTTTGCCAGGACGGTCCCCAGGTGCTACGTGAAAAATTTTGTGCGAATCAGACAAAGCGTGTAGGAGGAACACGAAAAAGTAGTTTAAGGACATTTCGCGCTCTAACGGGAAAAAAATTAAAGGTGGAAGTGGGCGTGGCCTATATGGGATTTACCGAACAATTTTTCACCAGGTCTGACCACTTTGCCAAATAAAATTCGTATATGTTCAGGGGGGCAAAAACGCAGTCAAAGGCGTTTAAATATTATAATATGGAGAAGAAAGAGAAGAAGAAGAAGAAGAAAAGAAGAAGAAGAAAAGAAGAAAGAAGAAGAAGAAGAAGAAACAGCAAATACAATAGGGACCTCCAGCGGTCGCTGGCTCGGTCCCTAGCGAGAAAAAGAAGAATTCCTTCAATTACAATAGAGCCTTCGCACGGTCAGTGCTCGGGCCCTAATTATTTGAAAAACCATACCTACAAGATCAATTTTATCTGGTATAGCAAGAAAGGGATTAAAAAACCTGGATCATTCTTTCCCAGTTTTGAAATACCCAAATCAGTTCCAGAATTATTTTAGCTTTTTTATTGGGGAGTATTTGTCAGTGGCAAGATTTAGGAAGTTCCATTTGAAGGTTTTTTCTAACCTAGTTTAAGTTTTTTGTTTAGTTTTAGTAAACTATGACAACCATGGCTGGATCCACCAGTGGGATCAAGATCATTCTGATTTTTAGCATCAAAACTATTCTAATATGCACCTCAGAGTTCTGAAATACACAAAAACAACATCTGATGTGGTTTCTGTGTTGGATTGGATGTGTTGTAGTGTTTCATACCATCTAAGAGGTGCCAAAAAAGCTCCTTGAATCTAGATTATTCAAATTGGAGAAATACTACATATGCCATGGTGCTCTTATGTTTTACAGCACTACCTAAAGATTTTGGCTGGTCAGTGAAGGGAACACAAAATAAGAGAGATTTATAATTTATCTTTGTTTCAGTGTTCTGGATCTAAATGCATTTGAGAGGCAGAACAAAGCAGAAGGACTTGGAATGGTGACAGAGGAGGGATCAGGTAAGTCTCACTATGTTTACACCTAATTGATTTATATTTTTTAATGGTCATAGCAATAGAAAGAAAAGTTTTATCAATATTTCCTTTCTGTAGTATGTTCATGTTAATATGTTTTTCTTCACCAGATACAGGTAACACTTTTAAATGTTACTTTAAATAACCTACCTATAAAATCTAGAGGGCACTGCTTTCTGACACCATTTTTTTCATGCTAAAGTAAATGTTCTAAGCTAGCTGAAGGAGAAACCTTTTCTTCCTTCAATTCAAAATCTCAAAATGTCCCATGAAAAGATAAAATCATTTCCTGGAGTGGTCTCCAGCACTAATAACATTGTAGAAAGTGATAATTTAAGTTAAAAGAAATATACTCTTTGGTGTTGCATCTTGTTTGTAACTTTTGATTCATTAATATTTTTTTTATTTTTGTCAACCATCATTCTTTATCTTGCTTTGTCCCATTGATCCTGTCATCACTTAAATTGAGCATTTTGTTGAATTTTATTAAGTGGTACTACCTGTTGTCACATGCACTATCAGGTATTTCTGTTAAGTGTCTTTGTGCTTATAATTTGCTTGTTACATCTTCTGTGTGTATACATTTGTTACAAATCTTCACAATCATCCTTTAGATTGCATATTGATACTTATTCAAAATTCAAATCAATTACTTTCATGAAGCCAAACCAAAGTTATAGGTTTGTGTACATAAAATATAGTGTTTGTTTTTCTAATTTGTAGAACTACATTTTTAAAATACAGTTATAACCCCCCCCCCACACTACCATCACCACCACCACCACTAACTGGCACTAACTACAGCTGCACTCTAACCCCTGTTTTTTAATGGCTCTATTAACAAAACAAGTTCATTGTGGATGCCCACAGAAAAGCACTAGGTCTTGATGTTATTATAATATTTTTTTTAATTTTAAACAACTCTTATTGAGTATTACTGAGCTTTACAGGGATTCTGTTGACACTTGTTTTTTTACATGTTGACCAAACAAATAAATTCGGAATTTTTAAAACTATTTTCCCTATATGTAATCTTTTTCTTTGTTTCTTACTTTCTTTCTCTCTTTCTTTCTTCCCCATTTTCCTTTTCTCATTATGGTTTACTGCACTTTCTTCCCTTCCTCAGTCATCACTCATGAGCGTGGTAATTATGCCTCCTGCCATTTTCTTGTGTGTTGGTTTGTCTCTCTCTCTTTCTCTACGGTTAGTTAGTTGTTGTGTCAGTTCTGTCCAGGTCCTGAGTGTAGACCTTCAAACTTCGTCCTTACCTGCTCTGTGCTTGTAGCTACCTTTCTGCCTTACTCTCACCATTCTGTTTTGTTTTTTCTTTGGCCTAAACCAATTATAATTATTATAAATTGCTCTTTCTGGTTAGTTTTGTAATTGGTTATTTCATACAGTTTAAAGTCTTAGTCTACCTCTGAATTCTGAATCATTATTTTCAACAATAAGCAAACTGATGATGATATCGTGACATCTTGTTTTGGAATATACATTTAAATGTAAATATTTAGATCACAACCCGCCATTTAAAACAGAAGATGTGTATGTCTCCCTCTCAGGATTTGTACAATATCTGTCACATTGTAAATATTACTAATATGACTATTTACCTTCCCCCACCCTGATCATCCACCCCAACCCTGTCAGACATGTAGTCAGCTTAAAGTTAGCTGGTTGTTTTTCTGCTGGTTGTTATCTGTTGTGAAGTGTACAGTCCCCTCTGTGTTCTCAGCCACTGTCTCTGTCTTTTTCTGACTTAGTCTCTTAGACTCAGTCTCTTACAGCTGCAATGAAATAGTGTGTGTGTGTGTGTGTGTGTGTGTGTATGCCCTATCCCCATATATACATTAAAACTGCACTAATCATTATTTTTATTATACAAATGAGTATATATAATGTAAAAGGCAGGAGCTGTTATAATTAATGGAAAATTATGCTTTTCTTCCACTTGTCACTTTTCTTCAAAAAGAACTAAATCTTGTGTGCTTCACCCCAAAATTTTTAATGGCATAAATTCATACTTTGCAGTCACGT